TGAGGAGCTGCATGATAGTGTGCCTTCAGCGTGCCAGGCTGACAGCACAGAGCCTGCTTGGGATTCTCTCTCTGTCCCTCCCCTGCTCACGTGCACTCTCTCTCTCTCTCAAAATAAAAAAAAAATTAGAAAAAATGACAAATCTAGTTGCTACGTACAGGGCATGGGGCTCCCTCTCAGGACACCTGCTGCATGGAGTACTTTCAATATATCATCTTGTAGAACCTGCCGAGAGCTTCCTACAAAGCGAGAGCTATTAATGGGGAAACTGAGACTCAGGGGCCCTAAGTCACTCCCAAGATCACGATGTTCATCACCCATCAGGCAGGCGTCTTGTCTGCTCAGAGCTTCAGACGACCCATCAGTAAAAAGGGGACAAGGAAGAAATTCCTCGGGGATGGCAGGGAGAACCCAGATATTCTCTGCCTGAAATGGGATGTCCAGTCTGAATTAGCTGCGTCTCAACTTACAGAAGTAGATTATTAACAGTCTTTGAGTGATAAAACCTCCCTCCCCCTTCCCCGTTTAAAAAAAAAACTTAATGTTTATTTTTGAGAGCGACACAGACAGAGCACGAGCGGGGGAGGAGCAGAGAGAGAGGGAGACACAGACTCCAAAGCAGGCTCCAGGCTCCGAGCTGTCGGCACAGGGCCCGACGCGGGGCTCGAACTCACAGAAGATCCTGACCTGAGCCGCAGTCAGATGCTTAACCAACCGAGCCACCCAGGCGCCCCATCCCCCTTCCCTGTTTTAAAAGATGTTGCGCTTTCCCGTGATCGCCTGACCCTTTGTCTCCATCAACTCTTTGTCAGGTTATCATCACTCGGAATAACATCCAGGTTGAGGGGTTACGGAGAAATAAGGAAGACCCGCGGTTCCAGATGGGGAAAGTGAGGCCCCGAGAAACGCAGAGGCTCCACCAAGGCATTTTCTAGGTCCTGACTCAGCTGCTCCCGGGAGGCTGGCTGGTGCCTTCCTTTTTTGAAAACACATGCATTGATTTCTGCCTTTAGGGCAGTTCCGGGTGCTGATGACTGCTCTGTGACCTGGAAGCAGACGGCTGTCCCTATGGCCTCGCCGCCGCCCCTCCACGCCTGGGTCTCCCCACGTGTGCAGGCCTGTGGTACCTGGGAGGTGCGTGTGTACTCCTCGTAGAGCTGGTCGTACTCGCGGCTCTTGTCCTGGTACTGCTGGTGATAGACTTTGAGCTGGGCGCCCACCGCCTCCACGCTGTCCTCCTTGACGATCTGGTCCTAGGGACACCGGGGGTGATCAGAGAAGCGGCCTGGGACACTTGTGCCGGAGGCTGGCACTGTCCTCCCACCCTGGCCGCAGACCTGCTGGTACTTGGACACCGGGTAGAGGAGCCGTGTGTCCAGTTTGGCATTGTACTGGGCCAGCGACTCGTGACGGTAGTGGGTGATGAGGTCCACAACGGAGCAGAAGGTGAGCGGCTCTGAGAAGCCATAGTGCCCGTCACGATGGAAGACCTTAATCAGCTTGTTGTTCCCGCCTTTCCTAGGGGCGGGCGAGAGGGGTGTCAGGAGCCCGTGCGATCCCCAGCCGTCTGGACACCGCACGTGCCCCACTCTCCAGGCAACCCCCTGTCCTTCTGCCCTGGGTGTCCTCCCTCCCACCTCTCACACCCAGTCACCCCGGAAGGGGCAGGCCCCCACCTGAGGGTCAGTGTGTATTCCCCCTGGATCTTGCTGGATGCATCTCGGACCAGAAAGGTGCCGTCGGGTGTGTCCCGGAGTTTCTCATTCACTTCCTCCCTGCGGGGAGACCCAGGATTGGGGCGCCCACCGGGAGACCCTGCCCTTCGGGCTCTGCCCGCCACGTGGCCCCGTCCCACGGCCCTACCTGGAGATGTCACCCCAGTACCACTCGGCATCCTGCAGGGAGGGCGGGCTCCCCCCATTGGCTAGGCCTGCGGGTGCTGGCTTGGCCTTGGGGGGTTTGGGCGGCAGCGCTGGGGGACAGGAAAAGAAATGTACACTGAGCACCAACTGTATACCGTGGCTGGCTCCTGTTGCAACAGAGCTTGCTGATGCGGGCAGGACTCCAGGTCGGTATTCGTGATTCCCAACGGTAAGAGCTAATATGGGGGGGGGGG